GGGTGTAAACATTTTGTGGAAATTGGTTCAATCAAAACTAGGCTCCAAAGTGGCCTTAAACACATAGCAATTATCACAACCACGAAGAGACAGGTAGACTCTGGACAGAGATCTGTAATAATATGCTTTATGATTTCTCGAGGACTATTTTTGTTCCCTGGCATCAACAACATAAAAACCAAGAGTCTTAAAATACCAAAAGTGGCGGTTGAAAAACAAAACCTCTTTCCTAATCCCAAATGCAAGAATTCAAAGGGGAAGGGTCAGGAAATACATGTCACTGATTCATTCCTACTAAAGTTGGTCCCAGCGTGGACACAGCTCCTATAGATTCAAGGAAATTCAAGGATCATGTCTGTTTACATGTTAGCTCTACTTCTCCTGAGGTAGAATATACTGTATATTTTATGGGAAGAATTATTTATTTAAATGTTTGTTTTTGATTGACTGATTTACAACAGATTTAAGGTAACAGAGTCCCATTATGCAGTCTTGGGAAAAATGAGGCTGCTTCTGCTCAGTCTCTCCTCAGTGTACTCCATCAGGAGTCTCTCCTCAGTACTCCCCAGGTTGCCAGGGTAAGTGGTTACTATCCTCCAGCAAGGTTACCCACAGCCATCAGGCTGAGGCCAGGCAGGTGAGAAAGGGGGCCCTTGCCCTGTCTGTGGCTTTCCCTGTTGTGACTGGAAATAATGGGTTTCAAAAACTAAATAAATAAACAATTTTAAGAGACACTTGTATTCGGATATAGTCATTCTTTTGAGGGTGTGTCTGTTTCTCAATGGCATGATTCATACAAAATAATATGTCCCCCATTTCTTACATCTAGCTGTCTTCCAGAAAGACAAGAACACAGTGTGCAGAGGCATATTAGAAACTGGGCTTCACATTTCTTCACTAGGAATGAGCTTTCTACAGCATTGAGCTTTTATGCTTAACAGAAACTGCAAACCCTTTGGGAGGAAAAAGGAAACAAAACGACTTGTCAAAATTCCTTTTAGCGCCTATGACTAGTGTTAACTTACATGCTCTCAGAGTGCAACAAAAAGCTTCAAAACTGCTGCTAAAAAGATGGTTTGACCATTTAAAATGGAAACTCTCCCACCCCATACCCATACTAAATAGGTGAACCTTGGGAGCTCTAAAGTTTTCGATTAATGACTGAAATGAGGTTGAATTACCAGAAAAAGGGTTTCCCTGTAGGCTGCGGGCTAATTAGGGTGTTCTAGATCTACACTGAAACAGCAGGTAGAACGCAGGCCACAAACCTTTTAGCTATTGTAGTTGCCAACTGCTCAGAGTCTACTTCTCAAAGGAGTCGGGCGGGGAGTTATGAAAATTTAGTAAATAAAAAAGTCCTGGACGCGACCGCCCGGGCCCTGCGGTTCCGATGCAGGCTGTCGGTTCCCGCAGGCTGAAGAGCCTGGGCGATCCCGGGTCTCCGCCGCAGCCGCCAAGCCCGGGGCGCACCAACCGGCGTTGCTGAAAGAAGTTGGAGAGCTCCCAGCTCTCCGACAGGATTCAGCGGTGGGCACCGGGGAGTCCCTTCCTACGTCGCAATTAGGAAAGTTTTGAAAAGTAAAGACCCTAGACAGATAGGAGACCCATTCTTTTCTTGAGCATAAGAAACACCCCGCGCCGCGCCAGCCGGCGCCTGCTCGAAGAAGACCAACAGCCCTGCTTGGCCGGGACCCGCCCGGTGCCTTCCAGCTCCCCACCGCCCCAGAACTCAGCCAGAGGGCGCGGAGACAGACAGGAGGCTCTGCCGGCTTGCGGATCCAGATGGAAACGCCTCCGGGCTCCCTGGCCTGGGGTGCAAGGGCTCGAATCCAACATTCTAGTGGGCAAGGGCAGAACCATCAACTCCTGCTCGGACGCCCGGGACCTTCTCTTCCAAGCCCGCTCCGGCTTCTCCAAAGGACGCGCGGCACAGCCCATGCGCCCTCGGCACTCCACTCCACTCTTCTCTCTACGGTTCCCCCCAAACTCTTCCGGAGCTCCCCGCAAAGCACAGACGGCGCCCGAAACTCCCAGGGCACTCGCCAGCCACCCCCACCTCCGCCTCTCGAACCCTCCTTGCCGCGTTCTTTCCGCCCCGCACCGTTCTCCTCGCGTTTCAGGGGAGTCAGAAGCAATCCACGAGAAAATGCCTTCGCAAGGAGCCTCCCTACACCCGCCCTGTCACTGAAACAAAAGCACAGGGAGGAGGGAGGTGGGTGAGGAGGCGGGAGAAAGGTTTAGAAAGAGGATGGGGACAGCGGTAAGAGAGAGTGCGGAAGGGGGCCGGGACCCCGCTCCGGCGCCGCGCGGCCGCTCGCTTACATGCCCAGGTCGCTGTAGGTGTTGAAGAATTCCATCTGGTTGCACGCCTGGATCCAGCCCACCACCCAGGTCTCGTGGCGGGGGATGGGGGGCATGACCACGCGGGCCGAGGCTTTGAAGTAGGGGGTCTTGTAGCGCAGTACGATGGGCGAGGTCTCCTCGATGCGCGTGGGGCACTGGTCGATGGTGGCGCACACATCGTACACCACGATGTTCTCGCGCCGGATCCGCGCCTTGCAGGTGATGCTTTGGATACAGCCCATCCTGCCGCCCGGCGCCGGCGCGGCGCGGCGTGGGGCAGCGC